AACAATGTTACTTTGTGCTAAAAATGGATGAATCTTTTGGACAATGGATCAAATGCTTGATCAAAGCTCTAACAGTTTTGTAAACATTAAATTATGGAATTATTATAAAGTTAGAAGCCTGAAAAGCAAGATTGGTGCAACATGGTTTGAGATTTGATCAAGTGTTCATCACAAATTTGACTTGTAATTTAAGTTTGAAACCCTAACTTCATCTCTTCGGTTCTCTTAGCTCAAAAATGATCTCATTGAGTTCTTGGACATTTTTAAAAGATTGGAACATTATCTACAAATTTCATGTTGGCCCTTTTCCAAGAAGTTAGGTCAAAAATCTGCCTAAACTAGGTCAAATTTTCACTAAGTGTTTAAGAAAAAGTGCAGGACTTTGTGAATTCATAACTCAAAATATAAGAAATTATAGAACTTGATCAGTAAAGAAAAGTTGTATTCATCAAGATATACAACTTTCATGTTGGAAGTTTTCTTTGAATCATCTTGCATTTTGGTGAAAAATTGGCATGAAGTAATGAAAAAATAAGGCTTAAAAACACTTAGAAAATTTTTTAAGTCTTGAAAACTTTGACTTTTCAAAATGAATTTTGAATTTCTTGATTATTGGTGATCAAGCCTCACATTTTTACATTTCTTGATTAAATTTGATCTTTGAAACTCAATTTTGATCAAAAAGTTAAAGTTTGACTTTTGGTGTATCAGTTGACTTTTCATCAGTTGACTGAATTTCAACTATCAATCAACTGGTCTTGAGAAATGTTTTGAGCCATGGAATTAGGTAAATATGTTGTATTTGAATCCTTTAGATTGTGTTTCAAACCATTGGATCATGTATTAGGTAAAAAAACCCTTGATTAGTCAAATACAGTCAAAACCCTAAATTTGACCATTTTGCCCTTTTGGTGATTTGAATAATTTTCTTGGGGAATTATGATCCAAACTTGATCAATTGATACATATGAATTAAAAATGTTGATATTGGTCCAAAATCTTGAAGTTTGACTGTAGGTTGACTACAATTGACTTTTTATCCAATACAACTGATTTTAGGTTATTTGATCAATTGACTGAGCAATTTTGTGATCCAAGACTTGAAACTTGATATGAGCAATATTGAGGGTCCATAATGATCCATGAAATTAATTTGAAGTATTAGAAGTCCAATTGTCCTTGTGCAAACTCAAACCCTAATTTGAGATATTAATGTTGAGGACATGGCTTGACCTAGTCAATACTTGTGCAAGCTTGAACCATTGAAGATCTTTGTGAGAAATATCTTGAGAAAAGAGAGGGAAAACTTTAGGGTACAACAACATGTAATAATTTTTCAGTTTCTATTTGTCCTAGGTCTGTGTTGTACCCCAAAATTTTCCCTCTTATTTTATCAACATTTCTCATCACAAGGCTCTTTGAACTCAAGATCAAGCTAGGGCTTGCTCTGCCCAAGACATCTCCTTGCACTGTTGACCTAAATTAGGGTTTGAGTTTGCACATGGATTTTTGGATTTCTAATGCTCAAAATGGCTTTCATACTTCATGTTGGACCATTAAGATTGCTCATACCAAGTTTCAAGCCTTGAATCAAATTTTTGCTCAGTCAATTGGACAGTTGACCTAGAAATCAACTGTATTAGGGAAAAAGTCAATTGTGGCCAATTTACAGTCAAACCTCACAATTTTTGATCCACGTCAACATTATAAGCTCATATGAACCATTTGATCAAGTTTGGACCACAACTCCACAAGAAATTTGATCAGATCACCAAAAGGGCAAAATGGTCATTTTTAGGGTTTTGACTGCACAAGGGTAATTTCTGATTTTTGACCTAGCCAATGGCAAATTGGGTTCAAGCATGGATTCAAGGACTCAATGTCATTATCTTGACCTATTCACAAGTTTCAAAAGATCTCAATTGCATTGGATTGACAAATGAATTTTTCAGTTAACTGATCAAATTTTGACTGTACACTGAAAAGTCAAACTTTGACTTTTTGGTCAAAACCAAGGGCCAAGGGTCATTTTTCATCAAAATATGTCAAAACATGAAACTTGTTCATCAATAAACCCATTTTTTCAAATTAGGGTTTAAAGTTGAAAATTTTCATAACTTAGAATTTTTCTAAGTTATGAAATTTTCTTAATTTTTCCTAACTTTGCCCAACATTTTCACCATGATGCAATTGGATTCAAACAAAACTTCCAACATTAAAGTTGTATTCCTCCACAAAGTCTACAACTTTTATTCACAAAATTTTCCCAAAAGAAGCTCGGATCTCAAGTTATGATTTTTGGAACAAGGGTCCCTAAAACTTTTAACTTAGTGAAATTTTGCCCTAGTATAGGCAGGATTTTGACCTATCTTCATGGAAATGTTTCACATAGTTCCACTTGGAATCTCAAATTGCATTTCAAAGATGGGTTATAGAGCATGTTGCAAGCTTTCCAAAATGTCTAATAACTCTCCAAACACATTTGTGGTTAGGGAGAATCGAAGGCTTGAAGTTGGCAAAAACTCATTTTTCATCCATGGCATGTTCATTGTGATACAAGTTGCAAATTCAAATCAGCTTTCTTTGCACTAGATTACAGGCCTCAAAACCATTCCACACTCAATAATTAAGTGCAAAACCATTGGTCTAAGGCATTGTTTTGGTCATTAGAGCATTGCACCTTGGATTAATCCCTAAGTAGAAAAAGTAACATTTCCATTTTTTGCCAAATCTTACTTTATGTCAAAACTGATTTCTTGAGCATTGGTCCATATCTCATGCAGAAAATCAAATCCACAAATTTGAGGGGCCAAGGGAAAAGTGTGCAAGGTGGTGGATAGCATGTACAGGCCTGCTTAACATCACTTCTCATGTTTGCTTAAAATACAAGAAAGATATCAAAAACACTAGAACTTGAACATCAACAAAAACCAATTTGTGGAAGCCTTTGAGACATCTTTCTCACACCCCTTTGAGCCAGAAACACGACCCTTTGAGCCCTCAAACATTCCATAGCTCAAAATCACCTTCCATTGGCAAAACAGGGCAGCATCTGCAACTTGAGTTCCATCTCACATTTTGCCCGTGCGTTTTGCCCCAAGTTGGTTCAAACATCTTCCACATAACTCATCCAAGCTATCCCAAACCTTAAACACCAACTGTAACTCCATTTACAGGGTTTTCCATTTTCATTTTGAGCTTGTGCAGGTTGAGTTCTGTAGGCTTGTTCAAGCATATTCAAGGCAAGCAGGGTATTGGAGAAGGTCAAGTAAAGTTCAAGCAAGCTCCCAGACATCTCAAGCCTTGTTGAAAAGCTCCACATTGCCATACACAAAGTCAGCTGAAACAGGTTTTTATTAACTTCCTATCTCTCTATTTAGGAACATTTAAACTTAGGTTTGTGAATAAGAAATGTAGTATCCATAGCCATGAAGCTGTACATATGCTCAGTTTTCATTTTTATTAAGCATGCTAAGAGAATTTGGTCCATGAACATACTGAAAAAATTAGGTTAGGTTTTAGGGCCAGAGAAATTCTCTCTGGTCTTTGAGAGTTAGGATTAGTTTTTATATGGTTAGATTCGTCTTGGAAAGCTCTACAACTTTGATGTTATGTATTTTTGCAATAGAGCTCGTATGCAGGATATTCGTGTTTGGTACAGGCGCATGCATTTTTGAAAGTCAGAGGTTGAAGATGAAGTGTGGTGGGCTGGGCTTGGTCCTGGCTCATTATTGACACCCCCCCACTAGGACAAAAATGAGTTTTGGCACCGCTACATAGACAACGCTTATGCAAAAGCGCTGCTGTAGGTATCCAAAAAAAAATACTTTAGACAGCGCTTATTAAAAGCGCTACTATAGGCCTTATCAAAGGCAACACTTTTTCTCCCTAAGCGCTGCTATAGGGTTTTAAGAAAAATAAAAATTAAAAAATTAATAAAAGCGCTGCTAAAGGGTATGCTTTAGACAGCGCTTTCAAAAAGCGCTGCTAAAGGTGTAAGTCTAAAAGCGCTGCTAAAGGGGGGTAAACCTAAAGCGCTGCTAAAGGGGGGTACCTTTAGCAGCGCTTCTTGAAAGCGCTGCCTTTGTGTAAATCTAAAAGCGCTGCTAAAGGGGGGGTAAGCCTAAAGCGCTGCTAAAGGGGGGTACCTTTAGCAACACTTCTTGAAAGCGCTGCCTTTGGTTTGTTAATTTATTTCTAAACCCCTAACCCCTAAATCAGATTTCCAGAAACACAAAATTAAACCGATATCGCTGTTCATCTTCTTCTCCATTCGTCTCCTCCCATTCTCTCTTCACGCAACAACACAAAAACGCTCTTTGCTCTCTCTCTTTCCTCAACTCCGCGGCTTAGATCTGAGGAGTTTTGGAAACCCTAATCCACCGTTCTCGCCATCAACCTCACCTCGCTTTTTCTCTCCGATCATCTACTTTTTCGTATCCTAAGGTATAGCTTTTTCTTCTAACTTTTTCCGATTCGATGCTATCAATCGCTTTTTTTCTTTCTCTTTTGAATATTCGTATCGATCATTTTCTGAGTTTTCGTTTTCTGTTTCAATCGATTTACTTGATATCGAGCTGTTGAGTATTGGATCTGTTAAAGCTTTGATTTCCGTTTGATTTTTGCAGTTTTTATCTTCTTTTGAATACTGTTCTAACTTTTACGAAATTCGTTGCTTTCTCTGGTTTGATTATATCTTACGCTGATTTTGATTGCTTTTTCGTTATATGCTTAATTTTAAAATATCGATCTATTTTATTCATTATAGATCATGTTGATTTTATTTTATCTCTTACTTAATTGTTTTTTTCAAGCCGTGATTGTGCGACTTTCCTCTCTGTGTGGCTCTGACAAGATTAGATTATAGAAACAGGTATATGTGTGAAAATGAATAATTTATGGGGCCTCTTATCTGACAGTTATGATACACTGGATTTAGCTTTGCTACAGCTTTGTTGTTCTTTAGTTCCTACCTGCCTCTTCACTTAATTTTCTAGTCATTAGAACCAAATGAAATGATTCCCACAATTTCCATAAAGATACACATTCCAAACCATTTCAACCTTCTTGATGGTTTGTTTGGCTGCACATTTCAACCTTCTTGTTGTTTTCTGCATAGAATAATTTGAATAAGAGGATAAGATATCAAACACTAAAAAAAAATAAAAATTAGTCACTGCAGTTTCATACCTCGCCTTGGAGTTCGGCATAATAGACAGCTCCGAATCCACCTTGACCAATTTTATTATCCAAACTAAAGTTATTTGTAGCCTTAGCTAGTTCTTGATATGAAAACTCTGTTGACTTTGCCACCATAATTCCTGTAAGCCCAGCAGCACTACCAGTACCATACCCACTAGATCCTGAAGTTTCATATTCTCCACTACCTGAGGCTTCACCAAGAACAGAAAGTTGTTTTCACAAGTTATGGCAAAAAACTTATTGAAATAAATAAATACTAACTTTTAACAGTATCATAAGTTACTTTCACAAAAACTATCATTACCATCTTGAGTTGAAAGCACCTTAGAAATTTGGGGCAGTATAGTTTTCTCTTCTTCCTTTTTCTGGAAGTATTTGACATATATACAAATAACAAATAATAGAAGCCCGAATACTCCTGCTATCGATATACCAACAGCTGCACCCTTAGCAAAACCTGTTCTACAAGAGGGGGAAAAAATAAAAGTTAGAAACAAATATGAAGCAAATTTACTTTTTCTATGAAGAACTCAACTTGAGAAGTGAGATAATCAAAGTTGCCTACCTAGGATACAAAGGAACATATTCTCCATTTTTATCTGCAAAAGTTAAAAATAAATAAGACTTTAATAAAAGCCATTACAGATACTTAGAAGAAGAATAAAAACAAAATACATACCTCTTCCTGGAATGAACACTATCCCACTTCCTCTACTGAAATTAACATCAGGATTGAAATTTTGTATCAACCCTTCATCTAGTTTAGACTCGTTCGCAATCTTCTCAAGAGTATCCATAGACCTTAACGGATAAGTAACAAACAATCCATATTCTTTTGAAATCTGGCTATTCCCACAAGAACAATTGACAGTGACATTAACCTTAGCCTTAACAGGTATATGATTTGGATCATAACTATTGAACTTTTTCAAAAGCTCAAAACTAGTCAAACTTACATAATAATTATTTGCAATCAAATCATAAGTATCTCCTTTCTTTGTTGTGTATTCAAACACATGTCCTAAAAACTCACCTCCAATACATTCACATGGGAATGGAATGTTGATTCTAAAATAGGAAAAAATATTACCATGATTGGTTACTAAGACTTTATTGTAACTATTTAAAACATTAGAAGAGTTGGTAACAATCTTTGATTGCATGAAATTTGTTATAGTTGGGAGGTCAACTAAAGGCATGACATAGTAAGAAGCTAAAGCTATATCACACCCTTTCACACACTTTGAGTCCACTTTGAAAAAAGCACACTCCACAAACAGAAACAATAGTAACCCATTTTTTAGTTTCATATTTGATTAACAATAAAGAGAGCTAATCGAAATGGCTCCTGAACAAGAGGAAGAAGCAGAAAACAAACGAATTCAACCTTCTTGATTCCCATAATTTCCATAAAGATACACATTCCAAACCATTTCAACCTTCTTGATGGTTTGTGTGACAATATTTTAGGTGATATTTCAATTACAACTTGTTTTAGGTGATTTAAGCAATTGATACACTTTGATTCTAATCTTTTTATGGTCAATTAGTGACTTTGATACACATGGCATTGCACATTGCTCTGGCTCAAGCTTATCCATTTATTTTGTGTGAGATGTACCAAACTCTTACTTGTTGACATTGACTATGGCTGCTTTTGTTGATTCATATAAATATTGTTATAAATGGATTTGTTTTCATCTACCGGAAACTTCTATTCTATATAGTTTCAATTTTAATAAAAGTAACACTGCAAGATTGTTTTCCGCGTCTTGTGTGTATATATCTATGTTTTGACAGAAGATTGAATATTGTGTTAGGTCTTTTGTAGTTGGCAAATAGAAAAATGAATGCACTTGCAGCTACCAACAGGAACTTTAAGTTGGCTTCTAGGCTTTTGGGGTTGGATTCCAAGCTTGAGAAAAGTTTACTCATCCCATTCAGAGAAATCAAGGTAATTAAACAAACATAATTCTTTCGCTGCTCTTGCAAATTTGTTTACTGCTCTTGTTTTGTATGTTCTGTTTCATGTTATTATGATTATAAACTTATAATATAAATGATGCAATGATGAAAAATCAGGTTGAATGTACAATCCCTAAAGACGATGGCACGTTGCAATCTTACATTGGGTTTCGGGTTCAACATGATAATGCTAGAGGCCCTATGAAAGGAGGAATCAAATACCATCCTGAAGTAATTGTGTTGATTATTTTCCTTTTCATCTTGCAGTCATGGCAGGAGTTGCACCAGAGGGTTCTCAGTTTGATGCTAAACAATTTGATACCAAAATGAATGAGTTGTAAGGACACCCCCTTGATTTCTTTGTTCTTGTTTTGAAGTGTAACATTAAATCACGTTTTTGTCTAATTTTATATTAATACTAGTAATGTGATTCTGTTATTCTAATATAATTTGTTTTGATAACTTCGCTGCTGCAGACTCACCACCAAAGGACAGGACTTCTACACCTTTTATGAGGAGGTTTTTGAAAGTTTTGATTCAATGGGCTTGCAAGAGAACCTTCTCAGAGGCATTTACGCATATGGTATTTTAAAACTTTTCAAGTCCTTTTCTACTTTCTCCTTTTCTTTTCTATCATTATTAAACCAAATTATGCTTTTATCTGATTAAAGTTGAAGTTTAATTGTGGACTCTTTTGGTCCTTAAAATTTGTCCAGTATGGTGGCAGCATTCCACTTTGTTCATGATGTATTTTAATTCACTTGTATTTTTTGTGCAAACAATTCTTTGCACTGCCTTTGTTCTTTTATTGATACATAAATGTCTGGCCAAATCCTTTAACTAGTATGGTTTGTGTTAATAGGTTTTGAGAAGCCATCAGCTATTCAGCAACGTGGAATAGTTCCATTTTGCAAGGGACTTGATGTTATACAACAAGCTCAGTCTGGAACAGGGAAGACTACGGTTCTGTCTGAGCTAGAGCTTTTGATTATCAAAGTCAAGGTTTCCACTACACCCGATGGCAAAGTCTTGGATCTGTTTTTTTATCATAGATACCAGGTTTTTACATATTCTATTTGCTACTCTATAATGCTAGTTCGATTCTACCGAAACTTCTTTATCGTTTTACTTAATGTGCCTTTGATGAATCTATAATAACAGAGATCTTCTACATACAAAGACGAGAAAGGATGATACGATCGAACAGATAAAAGGTGTTTTGGAGGATTCCGTACTTACTATGGACATCGAATTGGTTGGCCCGGAAATTTCTGCTTGTTCGCAGGCCTCTTCATTCCTTCCATCTGCCATCACTGAAAACGATTATAATTTTGAATTGCCTGATTTAGTTCAAACCGGGACTCTCCGATCAGATTATACTTCTATCACGGTGGACAACACCCTTAGTCCGGCTCATTCCCTTGTACAAATTACGTGCCAAGACCACAAAGGTCTTCTTTATGACATAATGAGAACTCTCAAAGACTACAACATTAAGGTATGCAAATTTAAAATCATCACGAGTAAATGTTCTTTTATGCTAATCTTATGCTGTTATCAATTGAATATGTGCCAATGAAATTTGTCACTTAATCAGATTTCGTTCGGGCGTTTCACTACAAAACCTCGACGAAAATGTGAGATAGACTTGTTCATCATGCAAGCAGATGGAAAAAAGATAGTTGACCCTAACAAGCAGAGTTATTTGTTGTCGCGCCTTAGAACAGAACTATATCGTCCACTAAGAGTAGCTGTTGTGAGCCGAGGCCCTTATACCAAGCTTCTAGTTGCAAACCCTGTCGAGTTGTCTGGCGAAGGACGACCTCTAGTTTTTTATGATATTATACTTGCTCTCAAAATGCTCGAAATTTGCATCTTTTCGGTAATCACTCACCTGCTTCATATTTCCTATTGCTTAGTTCCTTAGTCAATATATTTCTTTAACAAACATCCATCAAAACCAATAAAAGACATAGTTTTTTAGAAGTCATTATGTTAATATTCTGATTAATTGTTTCAACAGGCTGAAATCGGGAGACACTCGATCGGAGACCGGGAGTGGGAAGTTTATAGAATCTTGCTCGACGAAGGGGAGGGTTTGTCTGTTCCGAGGAACAAGATTGAGGAGGGAGTTTGGAAGATGTTGATGGGTTGGGAGTGATCAATCCATGGTTGCTGTCATGACATTTTCCACCTTGTGAATGAACCTTTGTCTATGTACATATAACAATGATATGATTAAGTTTATCAGAAGTAATTGTAAAATATAATGTATGGAAATTATATGTATGCAAATGGTTTGTTTTTTTCTTTTGTAATGCTAAGTTAATGTATATAAATTAGAAGGTAGTAGCAAGTAGATGAAAATGAAGTAAATATTGCGAAGTAGAGCTACAACACAGTATACAAGAGCTATCCTCTGCATAGACACATAATACACACAATCAGAATTATTTAGTCAATAATAGATGCATCTTTCAATCAAAAAACGTGGATTGGTCGGAGTGGTTTGGCTGGCTGTGTGTTGGAGTATTTGGTCGAAGAGAAATGCGCTGCTAAAGGGGGGGGGGGGGGGGGGGGGGGGGTAATAGACAGCGCTTTTCATGAAAGCACTGTCTAAAGTGATTGAAATTTTTTTTTTAAAAAGAAATAAGGAAAAGCGCTACTAAAGGGGGGGGGGGGGGGGTAATAGACAACGCTTTTCATGAAAGCGCTCTCTAAAGTGATTGAAATTTTTTTTTTTTTTTTAAATAAGGAAAAGCGCTGCTAAAGGGGGGGTAATAGACATCACTTTTCATGAAAGCGCTGTCTAAAGTGATTGAAAAAATGAGGAAAAGCGCTGCTAAAGGGGGGTAATAGACAGCGCTTTTACCAAGCGCTGTCTATACCTTTAGCAGCAGAGGTTTTAGCAGCGCTTTTAAGCGCTGTTAAAGGCCTAAAAAAGCGTTGTCTAATCCTTTGTTTGGCATAGTGCCCTTTTACTTTTTGCACCCCTTGGCCCATTTCTTCATACTTTTGTATTTATTTCATTTTATTTTCATTTCTGATTTTGTTTTCTTATTTTCTAAATATAAAAATACCCAAAAAATATTTTTATAATTTTTTACATTTATTTTACATTTTATTTTATTTCTTTCTAACATGAAAACAATTTAATTACTTTTATCTTATTTATCAAAAAACTTGAAAATAATATATAAATTATACTTTTATTTTTATTCTTTATTTTTATTCACATTGAAAATATTATTCTAAATATATTTTTATTTTTTGTATATATTTTATTTTATTTTATCATATTTAATATAATTAATACTTATATATATATATATATATATATATATATATATATATATATATATATATATATATATATATATATATATATATATATATATATAGTATATATATATATATATATATATATATATATATATATATATATATATATATATATATATATATATATATATATATATATATATATATATATATATATATATATATATATATATATATATATATATATATATATATATATATATATATATATATATATATATATATATATATATAAAAGGATCTGCTAGGGATTTAAGTAGCCCTTGATTTTAGCACATTTATTTTTATTATTATTTATACTTAAAAAAAAACTTTTTCTAAATATATTTTATCTTTTTTACATATACTATTTTATTTTATTGTATATAAATAATATCATTAATATATTTATTTTCTTAAAGAAAATTAGGGTTTTACCCTTAACCAAAAAATAATCTTTTTATTTTTTTCTTTCTTTTTTTACGTTAAATATTTTTACATACATAGAAATAAACAAAAACCTTTTTTGCATATTCATATTATTTTGTATATTTATTTAATTTATTTATTTGAATATTGTTCATTTATTATTCATGCCATTTGATTCAATTTGGATGTAATAGTAAAAATTAGGATTTTTATTTTCTTGTGAAATAATCCCCATTCAAAAATTATACCCCCATCCCCATAATCTTGTTGTAATAGTGGTAGATTTATTTTTACGCATTTTTCACTTTCAATTATGCCATGATTAGAGATTAGGATTTGCATGAAAAAAATCCAAAATTAACAAATAGCTTGACCTAATACCAAGACAAAAATGCATGAAAATCAATACACAATGCACACTTGCACCCCTAGGGTTTCATCCACTTGTTGCCTTAAAAATGGGCCATGTTATGCATGTTGGGTACTTTGGCAATACAAAAACAAAACAAAAGATCATAGTCCCTCGATGATGTTATCTTGGTTGCCTAAACAAAATGATCTAGTCCCTCGGAAAATTGCTAAAAATACCTAACAC